GCTTACCCTAACTTCGGGATTTTCTAACCTGGTTTCCTCTTTTCAATGATTCAGAACTATAGGCCTGGCAAGGAAATAGTGACCCGAATATACCATTGGTAGCACCTGGAGGTCGGGTGTTCGATCCCTGCATTGCCGAGAAAGTTCATCCAGATTTTCCGGCGTGGTTTCCCCTTGTCAATGATGCAGGGCGGAGAGCCTGACAAGGACACCTGTCTAGTCGTTCGGATGGGACGAACAACCGAGGTCCCGTGTACATATTGGCGTGCACGTAAATGATCCCTTGGCAGTTGGAATTCGATATAAGAGTAGGCCGTAGCGCTGCTGCCTGGGCAAAATTTCCCTCATAGCACACTGTATGGCGTATGCCCGTATTAGCCCAGTTTAGGAGCAGAACAGTAGGACGTTAAACCCCATTTCATTTCCATTGGTAGCACGTTAAAAATCTGCTGACATAAAACCTACTTATAGATATATTTTAGACAGGTCAGCAATTCTGCGCACGATTTTTTGTATTTCCATGTCTACAGAAAAATCTCTGAAAAGTATGGGGAATCCCACGTAAATGACTTGATAAGTGAATTTGCAGCAACAAGAGCGATTGATTGACCTACTGGAAGAGAACTCGTCTATGTACGTCAGAATGTAAATGCTGGTTGAGCACGCTTCACGCAAGAAAAATCGTCGTGAAAAAGCTACGAAAAAGTCGATCATCGGGCAACCTTTTTTATTCCGCGCGCGTTTTCGTTGGCGAAAAATCCGGTCAAATGCAAATGTCACGCCACTTGACCCAATGACAGACCTTATCTAAAGAGCATCCATTAAACCACTTGGTCACTAACCTCAACGTATATATGAAAGAAATAAACTGACAATAAGTGTGTTTGCCTTCGATATTACCCTCGATGGACATGGCCGTTAATTCTTGCTTGCTAACTAGGAGGCCTGGGGTTCGCTATCGGTGTGGGCCGAGAAAGTTCCTTAGGATTTTCTGGTGTTGTTTCTGTTGCTGGTACGATATATCGTTGAATCGATGTATGGCGATTGACCTTCTCACGATTCGTGTATCGCGATTTTTTTTAATGTTTTTTTTTTGTCGCTTCAGTAAGTAATCTGTCACTCTTAAATATCCACGTCACACATTATCCATAGGTACACAAACAATATTAAACTGTTTTGCTCCTTATTTTGATCTACATCAGTATCGAGATAAATAATAGTTTCATGTCTTCAATTTTCGTTTACGGTAAAATTTCATTCCTAAGTTTGGATTATTGGCTGAGCGTTAGTTTGAAAATGGCGGCCCAATTCAAATGAAAGTTGTTTATGTTTTTGTATCGCATAATTCGACATGTAAGATAGAGTTGGATTTTCATAATTTTGTGTCGGATGTGGCAAGAAATGGTTCCTTTTAGCGACCAAAGAAGAATCACGGTGAAAAATAGACGGTAAGGATTCCAAAATTGCCTTAGAACCGAGATGGGGAAAAGCCTTATTTTCATACCAGTTGTCATTAGCAGCTGACAATAACGCAGTAGAAGGCAGAGCCGATACAATTTACGCCTTCTACAATTTACGTTACTAAAGTAACTAATCCTACACGAGCCTAATAAGATGCAAGATTATCAAGGGAAATATAAGCAGATCCATTCTACAGTATAGAACCTTTAAATTCAACAATTATCGTATAAGTGATAATATTATAGAAATCCTATGGCGTCATTGGATTTCTATAATATCATCACTTATACGATTAATTCTGAAGTAATTTGACACAGTTGGTGGCTGGGCATGTCCTACGACAATTCACAGATATGGGGTGTAAGAATAGTTGGTGTTCTATTACAATTTGTGTTACACGATATTATAACTACAACAGACAAGTTCTCACACTCCTAGAACTGGATCTAAAAATCAGCCAGATTTATCCTTGAGGAATGTAATCAGATTGAACTTTACATTATTTAATATTATCATTTGTGTTATTATACGTTGTATACTGATTGATTCTATATTAGGTTTCACAATAATTGTAATAATTGTTCCTTTGTTCTAAATAACACATGTGTAATATAATATTTTAATTGTTTGTCGATTGAGCAATTGAGAAGGTGGACTTTCACACAAATTTTGAGATTTTTAAAACTTAAAAATATGTATATTATTTTCATATTTTGATTAAAGATACGTAATGGGAGATTAGATAAAGAGCAGGCAGTTCTAACTATAATAGTTAAAAACAAGATAATGTAAAGGGAGTTTCGTGAAAATTCTTTAAATAATTTGACAATTACAGTCGTGAGATAAAATCAAATGTTAATAAATGTTTCCTTGTTATTGTTAACTGAGTTTGTTTTTTCGTTGTCACAGTGTCTAAATAATAAGAAAAGTTCAAGAAATCTTCAAAAAAAAAGTTCTTCAATTTTCTTTATGTCTCGTCAGCCCCAGTTTTCTTCAATCACGAGTGATTTCCCCTTGATTAGAGAACATTCAATTTGCTGATTTGGATTCCACATTAAATTAAGTTGCACATACTGTGGCACAAGACGTAGTACAACAATATTACATTATTCAGTCATGTTTTAGATAATAATATCAATTTTCAATTATTTAAGCATTTTGGTTTCAACATTCTGTCCCCATAGTTGTATAGGTCTGAGCCCACACAATTACCCAATCCATAAACACAAAGGCCAAATGCTAAAGACCTCAATAATATTATAGCGAATTATGAATTTCACCAGTTCACTTAGATGGATTCACTCACATATACTCAGAGATATCTTCATATATCTATTAACACCTGACAACCCATATTTCTGATTCTAATATTAAGCACAATTTATCAACAGGTCGTGTAAGAGTTGATGACTTCGTTTTGAGTTTTACAAATCGCACAGAACCTTTCTTGTCTGTCATAACTTCAATAACTCTTCCGAGGGCCCAACAAAGACCAATCAACACTGCACTGATTAAGTTTTTCAGACATTTTTGACTGATTCCATTCTTTCATAGTGTCTTTCAACTCTTTTTTCGTTCCAATGCAATTAGTACCAATATCAATTAGTATGGAGTCAATGACAGTTCTATAATTGCTAATCCATTTCGTGAGTTTGAATCCTCCAGTCCTACAGAGTTTGGATAAATTTTCCAGACTCTCTGTTGACTTCAAGCAATCATCAACATAAACGTTTCTTCTAATTGTGTCTGCTACCCCAGGTTCAAATTTATCACCAATATCGTCAGCAGTTTTATGGAGTGCACTATTGGCGCAGGTTAGTGATGATATGACTCTAAAGGGATGCAGTGTCATTCTAACTATTTCCGGGTCAAGCTCATAATTTCCCTCTCTCCACCAGTAAAATGTAAGATAATCTCGACCATCTTCTGGAGCTCCACAATCGATGGGGAATCTAATACTTGCGATTCTCTAGTTGCCTCATTGACAGGTAAGTAAGATGTAATCTGAGGCTGGGGTGCTCTAGCTGGCGTTGAATGAAGGTAGGTATCGTTACATCTAGAATGGTAAGTATCAGAACCATTGGTAATTCCATCTGTCACACCACAACGTTTCGGATCTAATGTTCCTCTTTTATGCAGAGTTTGAGGCAAATGATGTCTTCTCTATTTCTTTATGTAAAGAATCGATTTCCTCTTCGATCTGAATTTGATCCATCTTGGCTTGATGTTGTATTTGAATCCTTTTTAATTTTAAATCCATCGGTATTTTTTTCCGATTTGAGTTTATCTTCTAATCCCACCTTTTGCAAATTCAGTCTATTTCCTGTTTCATTTTAAGTTGAGATTTTCTTTCTGAGGTTGTGATGCTGGGTCTTTGAGACACATTGTCAATTGGAATGATTGCGTCATTAACTGCTTCACTGATCCATTGGGTTACTACTGTTTTAAAGTGAAGGAAGTTCTGTTCAGTGTCTTCCCCATATTTGTCATCTCCTTCATCGAAGAGCAGTAAACGATAACTTTGGTGGTGGTAATGAAACTCTTCAAATGGATCTAAGAATAGTTCATATTCTTCTTCAACTTCATTTACCCTTTTCTTTCATTAAACTTTCAATTTCTTTTATCTTATTTTCAACTGTAGCAGCAGCGAACGTCCTGTTCTTCAGTCTTACTTCTAATGAATGTCTTCTTCCCTTCTCTGTCATTTTCTCTATTTATTAGGTTACTATAAACATGCAATTATGGGTTTTTGACGTTGAAATACACTGTCAGCAAGCTTTCACTTGCAAACTGACTGGACAGGGGTGCGTGGAGGTCATGATACAAAGCGAGGTGAAGCGACCTTGGTTGGTGATGCAGCCTTGGCTTCCTGACTTTTTGGGTTGACCTAACATCAGGATACTTGTGACGCATGCTGGATCTGGTACTGGAGATGTTGGTCTGGAAATGTTAACTGTCTGGGGTGTCTAGGTGAAGTTTGTCGATTGGAATATTTATGGGTATTTATGTTAGGCAACCGGCTAAATTACACTAGGCACACGTTTGATATACGTTACGTACTCTCCTCAGCAATTCCTTAGATGGACGCTACGCATGCACTGTAAGTCGTTTCTATTGGCGTGAGCGTGCTTGGACTAACGGTGGCGCGATTTGTGCACTAATATTGCATATGAAGCGGTAATTAACGGTCATCATAAAACTGCGGGTCTTTCTTTGTAAATGTTTTTTGTTGGGTATGGTCTATTTGATCTTTACTCTGATAGATTGGGACTTTAATAAGCAGAGGTGTAGATATTGTAACAAACTGTTATTAGCAAGCGTTTAAAATAATTTCCTAAAGGGATTTGGAACCATATACTTTTTTAATCGGTTACAATCGATATTATGCTGATAAATCACCGTCATTATCACGTCCACATCCCAAAATAACCCTCTTTTTTGTTGACTGGACGTTACCCCCCCCCCCCACCCACACACACCCACACACACGCTATGATTTAATCCATAATTCAACAGACATGCAACTTTTAGACCAGTAAGTTCTCTGATTTACTCCAGGCATCAACAAGAATTAAACTGTCAAATACTGATTAAACACGGGAGTTGTCCCCTTATCCTGCAACAGTAACATTCTTTAAATCGTCCATTAATGTGTCCTGGGCACCATGTTCTGAATCAATGTCTATTTCCATGACGGTTGTTTTTCGAACCCTCTTTAATATCTTTCTTCCGTAAATCAGAATAACAAATAGCAAAACGACGGACATGATAGCTTCACCTAGCAACAAGTAACAAAACCAAAGGGCAGAGAACTCTTTGATGAAGAAGCCTAATACCACAGGGTTGCTAAGGAGGCCAATAGCCCCAGCAACCAGGATGAATGAAGAAACTTTACCGTTAACTGGTATGAGTTCTTTATCCGTGAGTGAAATCCCTGTAGGAAACAGAATTGATATGGCACTGCCTGCGACACATGCAAACACCCAAATACCCGTATGAGCTAAATATAAAGCACTTATCCATAATCCTAATAAAGCACATATTACAAAGCACATAGCAAATAGTAAAAGTTTTGCCGGGCTAATCAAGTCCGCAACAAAAATGACGAGAATCCGAGCCGTAATTAAGGACGCCCAGAACGCTGACGTTACCAGGGCGCCATCCTTTTTCGACCAATCCATTTGTTTCACAACAAAAGTCATTAAAAATGCGGAAAATGCGTCCTCGATGCCAGTATTACATATATACATACACATAATTAGCACAACAGATATAACATAGTATAACAAAGGCACGTTTCGTTGTTCTGTGGCTTTTCGTGAATTACCTTCCTTGGTTAGATTACTTTCACCCTTAAAACTTTTTATCAAGAATGGCACTGACGTCAATACGGCTAAAATGGCCGATATAATGAAAGCATATTGTAACTTTATTACGTAGGCTGTGGACTGTAATGGATTTGTTTGATTGTTGATACAAGAAATGTTTGAATTAAGGGTAGCATTATTTGTGACGTTGCAGGTGATAACTGGGTCTTGTGATTTAATATCCGAGTTTTGATTCTCTACTAAGTGTTTTGGCACAAGAAAGGGTTCTGTTACCAAAGGAGAGATTAAAGCTCCTATGGAGAATCCTAAATGAACGATAAACATGTAAGGTCGACTCTCTGACTTCCACACTCGGACAACATCAGCTGTGCCACCTAGGAAATAAAATCCTTATTTTAAAAACAGTAGCACTTATCAGTTCCTTTAGGTCATGCAACGTTTGATTGTTGCTTCTCTACTTAATGGTTTTGCACAAGAAAGGGCGCTGTTACAAGTGGAGAGATTAATGTCAGTTTCATAATCTAACACCCAATAGGTTTATTCAAAATCTAACAGCTCTGTACCCTCAACTCAATTTCAAGTTTGCAAAGTTTAAAATAGTTAAATAAGACTGACTATAAATAGCTATAAATGATAGATCACCCCTCACCCAATTTAATCTTTGTCTACCCTAACTTCTGAACAAATTAAATTATTTAAATTAGACTAACGTGAAAAATATCAAATATCCATTATGATAAAGTAAATAAGTGCGAGCGTACTATATCAACCATAACGTCATCGCCGCCATCTTGAAATTGTGGCATTATGTGAAAATTCATTCTATCGATATGCATTAGTCCGAGTCCAGAGTCACAAATATTAAGACAGCAGAGAGTGTGGAAAGTGTTTGACACTTACCCACACTTTTGTATTAATGGCAGTATAAATAATTAAAAAAATGGTCCCTTACCTGTTTCTAGACCCCTCATACAAAACCCAGTGATGAACCAGATAAATATCATGAGAGGATATTGTCGACATTGTGGTACAACACCCACACATACACCCATGCCAATATTAGCCAGAAATATTAATCTAGGTTTGTTGAATCTGTCATATGAAGCACCAATTACCAGCGCCCCAAGCAATCCACCAACAGCAGCGAAAGTAAAGAACAGGGATGCCTCTTCTACATCAGTATTAGTTATAAGTTGTAGATCTAAAAAGGAAGGTCCTCTTTGTCCAGCGATAAAACCCTTAAAAAAACCCACCAAAATCATCATTGTTAAAGAAGTTAAATGAAAACTGAAATGGGGTTTAACGTCCTGGGGGCCGCGGTGACTAACTTAGTAAGTCGCTGGCTCATTAACCAGGATGTCCCCGGGTTGAACCCCCGGAGAGGTGGCGTGGTTCCGATTCCCAGCTTGTTACACGTGACAAGGCGTAGGGTTGACTGCCTAACTTCGTTTCCCCTACTGCTAAAGACATCTACCCTCAAGTGAATTGTTGAAAAAAAAAATCATACGTTAGTCCCGAAATAGCCTGGGCCTGGTGTGTGTGTCGACGGGAGGGTGGGGGGGGGTAACGGTATTGTATTAGATCAGTGGTTCTCAACCTTTTTTTGGCAACGGTACACCTTGGAACAGATGAAAATTAGCGGCACACCTGGCTAAATATATATGAAAAATATCTGAATTTTGCCAAATTAAAATATGGCATGTCATAGACGGCATACAAGTACAACCGTAGACACAGACTAGTCATAGACACATAGAATGACTCAAACGTACCAGTAGACACCAGTGAATACTCAAATGGAATCAAGTGGCTTGTCGCGTTTTCTTATAGTGTGCTGTTCAAAATTTCGCGGCACACTGGTTGAGAATCACTGTATTAGATTCTATATTTTGATCAACAATCACGTAATGTACATGGCGCCAATCTTTAATATAACAATTAGACAATATTAAATTACTAATGTAAGTATTGGCTACACTTATTGTAGTCCTACACAGCATAGTCACAATACATAAACGTAACATACTTCACATACTTCACTTTATAAAATACTCAATAGTGCAGTTGCTGCATAAAAAAAATAGGACGTTATGCCCCATTTCTTTTCATTTATAAAATGCTATAATCCCACAAATGCTTAAACTCTTTGCCAACAGTGCTGAACAATAGTAAATCATTTAAGCCATTTGGTGTATAATTCTTACCATTGCAATGAAGGATAAAAATAGCCATGATGTGTGTAGAAGTCTGGCCCTGTAAGCTGTATTCTTCCATTTTGTCAGAAATCCACGGCGAATTTGATTCCCTTCTGCTTTTTCTTCTCGTTCCTGCATTGTGAACATAATATACTGACTGTCAAGTTTATATCGATCAATAGCCTACACGTTGCTTAAAGCTACGTTTACACTGTACACATATTGTCAGCAAATCAGTATAGGCGAGTCATTGTCCTATGGTAGGATGACCCGTGCACTTTACAGAAAGTTGGTCTCGACACGGCTAAATGTGCACGCTTCAGTTGCGTGTCTCGAACTGATTTCTGACTACCCCGCACTCGCTTTGAGTCGATAAATAGCCATGGCACGTGCAATTCTCTACAAATATATCAACTATTACATCCGTAAAAAATCTATTGTTGACGATTTTGAATAGCAGTAAAATTTAGCTTCTTGGTTATTACAGCAGCTTTAGTAATTACGTTTGTTTTATTTTTTAAATTGCTTTATCATTAACTGTACCGTTAAGAGCGGCATCTTTTGGTTTAGTACAAATACTATCTCTGAATCACTTTCTTTAGCAGGAACATGATACTAGCAGTAGTTTCATTTTACTTTTACAAGTTTCTTAAAACAATTGTTGAGTTGTCTAAAGTGCTTATTTCTAAATTCAATTTCTTGTTCTAGCTTTCTGTTATGTTTCGTAAAAAAGTAGTCTTGATTATCCCGACCTGTCAATCAGACGTAGAATGGTCGATAGACTGGTTAAGCGAGACTAATTTCAAAACAAGGGCACGTAACCTATCTTTTACTCAAAAGTGTCTGGATGTTATGAACGCAACTTGGAACCAGTTTTCAGTCTATTATTTATAGATGATTAATGGTCATAGCTTATTAAGTACAACATGATCGTTTATTTAGTGACTATAATTGTGTGAAACTGATTTGAGGCTTGGCATATATATAAATATTGTGGCGTAATAGTCGAGATATTTGGAGATATTTATTTATGGTGGGTCACCCTACCTATGGTTGAAAGGCACAAGGGTTCCGCGACTTTAGGAATTACCCACAACTCATAGCGAGCCGTCATTGCGGTAGGCCGTAAATATAAACAAAGGGAAGCTTTCGTGCGGTCTATTGACTTGAGTATTACGGCCGATCAACCCAAACAATGCCAACTACCTGTGCGGTTATCATCATACAAATCTGGCAGGATCATCGGATATTTTGGCTGAAGTGGTTCTGGAATAAACTGGCTGTTATAATCTTCTATAACCGACAAACAAACCGGTTTATTCCCCTCAACAGCCCTAAAAAGGTATCCCGAGCTTTGCTGCTCAAGGCATTGAATATTTTATTGCCTGTTTTCTTTTTAGATGAAGGGGTGGGAGGAACTGTTTGCTCATCAGTTGTTTTATACATTCTTCAATGTTTTGGCTGACGTAAAATCAATTCTTCGAATCGGTTCATAACTAACGCCAGTTCGAGAAGCTGGAACTGGAAGCATCCAGTATGTCGCTGTTACTCTTATCCGTACACTGGCTTCAAGATAGAATAATACTGACGCCACGTATGGCAACAAGATTCACCTAAACCTGCCTTACAATCATTTTGGTTTCCAATTCGTTCGATCTTCTCTAGATATCTTTTTCGTCCATTGTAAACAGAATTCGGACAAAAAAAAAATCTTTCCTTCAAACAACGCAAACTAGAAGAATGACCAAGCAAAGAACGTGGGTGCTATTATATACGTATAGTGTTCAATTACGTCATTGATAGTATTTGTTTATCACGCAGCCTGCCAGAATGCTCGTGCGCGAGGAATTGTGGGAAATGATACTAAAATTAGTAAACATTCGCGAAACCGTCTATAATTATTATAGAGCGAGGAGCATCTGACGTAGGTTAGTTATCTCAAATAACAATATGGCATATTTAGTATATATGGAAAGTAGAAACACCGAGTCTTACACTGGAATAAAAGTCCAATATATATAGCATACTCATGAACATCCCGGTAGTTAAAGTAGAAAATAATTTCTCTGAATTTATTGGTAATAAAATCGTCAACCAAATACTGGTAATATAACCAAACACAAACAAATGATTGTAATATGCTGTATTACATGACCTCTATGAGCCACCAGAACATAATATGGTATTAATTTCAACTAAAACTGCCAACCAGTACAAAAAGAATTAGGGCAAATGCCCGACTTCTTAAATACCCTGTCGCTCTGTAATAGGATAAAGAAGCAGTGGGGTAATAGCCAATATGTAACTTAAACACCATTCGAATTTAGCTATTTAAGAGAGGGAAAGTTACATATTTAGATAAACCTCACTAGTCAACACAGAGCACATGGCGTTGACATCCCGAAGCTCCACTAAATGTTGCCAAATTTGAAATTTTCTCGTTCCAGTAGGGAAGACAGGCTCCCCGGACTCCTTGTGCCCCAGTGCTTTTAGGATACGTTTAAACAAATGGCCTAAAGGGGGGCATGAGTATCTGTACTCGCAAACTCACTGTATACACAAGTTTCAAGACAAATACAAACCTGTGAGCCACGTGACATCTCTCTAACTCAATACATAAGCGTGATTCTCCTCACATTTCAGTTCCATGTTATTATGTCGCGAATCCGTGAAAAGGGAAATAACAACATTGCATTAAATAGCGACAAATTAAAGCGCCGTGGTAGTATACAAGTCCATTTGCGTGTGTATGGATAGTATACATCTGGGTGTATATATATATATATATATATCCAAAATTATTAGCACAACCGCAAAGCTGCACTACTTTGTTTCACGGTAAATGATGAAAAGATAAAAAAAGGTATGCCGACACAAACTGATTTCAGCACTGGTTTAATAACATTTTAACATTTTAAAGTACTTTTCGTCCGTCTCGGGACTATTCATAAATAATGTCATTCAATATATATATATATATATATATATATATATATATATATATATATATATATATATATATATATATAGTATACACGTCTACTATGGGGTACTTGGACAGTAATACACCTGGGTGTATATATAGATAGTATACACGTCTATCTGGGTGTGTATGGATAGTATACACCTGGGTGTATATAGATAATACACACACCCATTTAGGTGTATAAAGATAGTATACACGTCTATGTGGTGGATGGGGGGGGGGGTCACGGTGGCTAAGTGGGTAAGACGCTGGCTCGCTAGTCTGCATTGGTCTGACAAGGGACGACCAACCGAGGTCCCGTGTACTTATTTGTGTGCACGTAAAAGATCCCTTGGCAGTTGGAATTTGATAGTGCCGCTGTCTGGGCAAAATTTCCCTCATAGCACAGTGTGTGGCGTATGCCCGTCTTCGTTAGCCCAGTTCGGAGCAGAACAGTAGGACGTTAAACCACATTTCATTTCATTTCTATTTAGATGTATATGGATAGTACACATGTGGGTGCATATAGCCCATACAGGTCTATCTGGGTGTAGTAGACGTCTATCTGGGTGTATATAGATAGTAGTCTATACACGTCTGTCTGGGAGTATTTAGATAGTAGTCTATACACGTCTATCTGGGAGTATATCAGTACGAAGCCAAGAGGCGACGCCACTTCTTATAGCTTCGCGTTGCTGGCTTCTTGGCTTTTTGGCTGTGATGTAGCAAGAGGGCAAGAAACCGAGAGGTGATTTCACTTCGCCTTCCAATCTTTATCTGTCTTGGGTGCTCCTAGTGTTCAACACTTCGTCTGCTGCAGATATAGACCCTGCAGCAGACGAAGTGAAATCACGAAATTGGATCCGATTTTCAACATTTTAATAGAAAGCTGCTCGTGTGAACCCGGCTTAAAATCTGCTGACAAAAGAAGTGCTATTAGCGCAATCGAGTTCATAGTGTAACAAAGTCAAAGGATGGTGAATCCATTACCAACTATATATAACGACAATCGAACGCTAACACGGCGTACGTTCACTGGTAGCTCTAATGGTAGTCGACAGTTGTAGTCACGTGAGGATAAGTCGTACCCAACAAACTTCACATTGATAAACAATGTACCCAAACCCTAAAGTATCAAACGGATACTGATTAACTAACATTTGTTTTGTCATTTCTCTACAAAACTTGTGAACGAAATTTCTTACGCAACGACATTAACTCTGCCAATAACTCCTACATTCTGAACATAAGAGACCCGCTACTTGGGGAGCCGTATAGATATATATATATATACTGTATATATATCCAGAAATATTAGAACAACCGTAAAGTTACACTACTTTGTTTCACGGTAATCGATGAAAAGATAAAAGGTATGCCGACACAAACTAATTTCACACTGGTTTAATAACATTTTAACATCTTAAAGTACTTTTCGTCCGTTTTATGGGACTTTTCATAAATAATGTCATTGTATAAAGACGGACGGTATAGTATATTTTAATATTTATACACGTATGTAACTCCTAAAGATTAAACAGAGCATATTCTTTTATATAGTAAAATTAAAGCTCCTCAAGTTTTTTGGCATTTGCCCAAAAACGTCTTACTGCGTACGTGTGAAGAGAGAGAGAGAGAGAGAGAGAGAGAGAGAGAGAGAGTTTAACGTCCACTCGACACAAAATAGATCATTTCGGGACTAACACATGGTTCTATTTTATTTCAATAATTCGCTTGCGCGTAGGGGTCTTTAGCAGTGGGAGGAAACCGGAAGAACCGGAGAAAATCGACTCGATTTATTGGCTGTCAGTAGATAAAAGTTAACGAACAAAATTAGAAAAAGTCCGTGCATTACCATGTTTTTATTAAGAGCAGAATGAATAAAAACAGGGAAATGCACGGGATTTTTATATTTTTCTCGTTTTCTACTATCTAGTGACAGGTGACAGCCAATTCTATTTTTGAATTGTGAGATATCCTCTCATCGTCTCATATAATAAATTTTCATCGTCAACGGAATTATCAGTAAAATGAAATTCGCCCGTGTGTCTGTTATCGCTCGTTACTTCAGTCAGTTATATAGAAGGATAACTCGTGTTTGTCATGTTTGTCGTCACTTCCCGTTTATTCAAGTGTTGTTACACATCTCCCGTAGCAATGATCTCTGTGTTAAAATTATATTTGGAATGTATTTAACCAGTTATATCACATATGTAATAATGATTGACACCAATATTGCCCTTTAAGTGCCCTCATTCATTTGTGAAAAACTATAT